TCCTCCGCTACTCGATTGCACACGCCCACGCGGTTGGTTGACGACGCCCTCTCCCCTAGGCGATCCCCCCTCGGGGGTGTGGACGGAAATTTGCTTTACCCTGCCTGCTCTAATCCTGCAAAACAACACCAGCTTGAGTATTCCAGCATCTGCCGCATCCACCTACGACGAATCAAGACGACGTGGTCGGGAGTCGAAAACGCATCCTCCACGTGTAGAGTTCCTCTAACGATCGGTCCTCCCATCATCCAGACACGCATATAACCACTCAACAGGGCAGATAAGTCTATGCGCGGCTCTCGCGTACGTGTTAGACTACACCTCATTTCTCCGAATATTACCACGTGCCTCAAAGAGTTTGGAAAAAGCCCATATAGACTATTCACACAACAAACGAAAAGAGTTGAGCTGGATACCGACTCCGACGTTTACTGATTCGAAGACAACAAAACAACAGCAACAGCGAAACACACGCACCATCCAACGCCGCAACCCCTCAGTGCTCCCGAACCACCAACCACCCCCCAACACGACGTTAGGTTGTTTCTTGACGATGCCTTTTATTTAACACCCAACCCGTCCCGCTGAGACAGGAGCCTTCTTTGGGCGTACAGTTTACCTCTAAACAACTCTATTAATCTGTACAAGCACGTCGACTTCCACAGGGGTGGGTGGGCACCTCCAAGCGCTAGGGCTGGCACCAGCACCACTACCCGAGGCTCCGGTAGTTCTCTACCGCCTGCTCCACGCCCAGGAAAGCCTCTTCGAAGTCTTCACGTTCCGCGCCGAACTGGGCGTACTGGTGCACGTAGGCGCCCGCCGAGAACATGTCGCGCGACCTCCCGACGGCCGTCTCCAGCACCCCAAGCACCGCCTGCACGGCCACCGACAGCAGGCAAAAAAAATGAGAAAATTTGGGGTTTACGATTGCGGGAGTTGTGTGCTTATTGGTAGCTCTGCTTGCATTCGAAATGGTCTACACACGCTGCCAGCACCCTACCACCGTCCCTCCTTCCATAATTCTGATTAACAATTTCGCCAGCGGCTACCAACACAACTACCGGCGGTTCGTACGGTAGTTTAGACAACGTGCTGTTCGGTGTGTCAATCCTCCCCTGGTTGCCTCGAGAACAGGGTCGGGAATGCCGTTTGGGGGTCGTTGCTCGCCTGTACTCAACCGACCACTGGCAAACAAAATGCCTTTGCTTCGACGTAGCAACCGTCAGAGTTTGGGCGCTTTAATCTTATCGGCCATACACAACGAGAAAAGGACATGGTGACGGTAGCCCCCTTCCATCCCTGCTACGTTTGACAACGTGCCGTCCCGCCGGAGTAGGGGGTCGGCACAGTGTCTCTATCTCGGCACAATAACTTTAATATTCTGAGACCCTATTTCCTGTTTGGAGGCGGCCGTACATGAGGGCGCGGCATCTCACACCTGAGAGTTAGAGAGAAGCGAGATGGCTCGCTCGTGGCCGTGGAGTCGAAGCGGGGACCGGCATTCCATCAACGGCGTCGGGGACCAACCCGCGTACCTACACGAGAACGACGGGCCGGGGGAGTGCGTGAGGCGGGTGAGAACAGGACGCATGTGTACTTGCTGTTTGCTTCCAGTTGTGTGACGGTTGGTCGCGTATCGTCCCGTTTGAGACAAGGCACCATTCCAAGTTCTAGTAGAGTCGCAACTAACCTTGCGGGTGCTTCTAACGTTATCTGCCATACGCATAAGCAGTAAGGGGAACCATTCCGCAAACGGTAAAACTTCTCCCAGAACTTTGTGGGCTCGTCGCTGCACAGTACACCAAGCAGCGTAAGGTACACACCGACTGAATCTAGACGTCCTGCAACAAGGTGAAGGCATTCGACATGAACGGCGTTGGGAACCAGGCCCCGACCATATCGATCAACAACACAACCCAGCGTGGACGGGAGGAAAAGGGCTAGAAGGGGCGGGGGGGGGCACACCCAGAACAAAAAGGTACCACGTGGAAGGGGCAAGGGGGGCAGCCGCGGTCGCATGATGTGATTGATCGCTGCATGCTACCAAAAAGAGCGACAATTAGCTACCATAATACAGGACGCATGGAGTCAGTGCCCCTTGCAATAGGACCAAGTTGCCGGTTCTCACAATCCGCGAATCCTGAAGCATTCTGGCGGTGGCGGTGGCGGTGGCGGTGGCGGTTGCGTCGCTCCGCTTCCTCCCACAGGGGTCCCGTGAAACGTCAGGAGGGACGCGACCGACTGGTTCAGGCCCACGCCTGTTTCGTGCACGCACACGTCGTGGGAAAACGGCGGAAACGGGATGCCGCGTGTTTTTGTCGAGAGAACAATTGCGTATTCGCTTGAATTTGGTCGAAACGATTAAGTTCAGATCATAGTTTCCCTGGGCGCAGGCAGAGAGAATTCTGCGTGCAGACGGAGACACGGTAGAACCCACCAAAAAAGAGTTGCACGCCGAACCCACAGGCACGTTCAACGGGCGAGAAAATGCAAAAAAAGTGAACGCTGATGCAGTCCGAGAAGACGTCCCATCTTAACGCTTCCTCTAGTACCTCTCTCTGTCTCTCGCTTCCTCTCTGCGCTGAATGGGTAAACAAAAACAAGAGCAGCCGGGCCTTTTCGACTAATTCAGAACGGGAAGATTACCTATTGTTCGCAAGAAGTGGTCTGCTGGTGGTGTAATGGGCTACGCAACACGTTGACCAGATCGCGACGTGGGATCGAATCATGCCTCGGCCCATGTTCTTTATCCCCATAAAATACAGGCCGGCGAGCCATCCATCACGATTTATGACCAACCGGAACAGTTAACTAACAGGTGGATCTCCGAACGTGTGTCCCCCCCCCAAATGCAAAACATTAAAACATTCTTGCTGGCACCGTTGACCGCGCGCTGATCACTAAACGGTTGTGTCATCCTCACTTTGGAGATTTGAGCCACTTCGGGCGGTTGAGATCCGCTACCTTCAAATCACACACAAATCACAACATATTTTGTTGCTGCGGTACAGTAGATGTGGTGTTGAAGGGGAAATGGAACCACTAGTAGTAGTCGAAGGGCTACAAGGGGAAACTGAACCGCCACGTTTGTGTGTCGAAGGACATCGCTGATCTGCCCGCGAACGACTGAACGAACACGATGAAAGGGGGAAAAAAAAAATGCGGTTCAAGGCGTACAGCGGTGTTGGGTTGATGGGAAATGCTGTACGTCTACAACGAAAAAATACAATTCATCCCCGCCTGCAAACAACGTCGAGAGCGAGAACCTCAGAAGGATGACGTGACCAGCACGCACAGCAAGTTATGCGTTGGACGAATGAAACAAAAACGGGGCAGCCATCAAGTGGGAAACAACGAAGGCAGCGAGGACGACAATGAGACGCAGTGAGCGAAAAGGAAGAGTTACGGACAAGCCACCACTGCCGACCACTTGGACTCGCCTGCCCCGGCCCCGTAGAAAGCCTTCTTGCGCCAGTCCAAGTCTAGCTCCGCCGGAGACCCTGTGATGTGCATCTGGTATGCCCTTCGCGTCAGCGCTTCCCACGTATTTCTCGTGAACGCTCTGGACCCGTCCGGAATCTTCGCCCAACGTCCGTGGCGGGCACACCCACCAACACGGGGAGGCGCGCGACCAAAGCATCGGAATGGAGTGGTAGGTGTGCTTATGACTGCTCCGGTCCTACTGTATCGAGAGCAGGCCAAGATACCCAACGTTCACGGTTCGTGTGGTCTCGTCCGGCGGCAAAACTACTCACCGATTCGTTCGCCTCGTGACCCCTCAAACGCTGTCGATTCCTGACACTAGCATGTGCGGCGGTCAGGCAAAAACGAAGAGCAAGCCGTGCCAAAAGGCGGGCATAAGGTTGCCCCCAAGCGTAATACCTGCCGCAGCCGTTACCCCGCAGCAGCAGAAGTAGTGCGCCCCAATGTTGTGGCTACTGGTCTCGCTGACAAAGATGGTCTACGTTGAAACACCTGTTGTGCATGCAACACAAAATTGTGTTACCTGCGGCACTATGGAGGCCCTCAGGAAAACGAAGTCCTTGTTCGGGCACAGGTGAGCCAGCTTGTCTCCGAGGTGCAACAACATACCCCCTGTGACAAAAAATGAGACAATCAGGGGCCAGGACGAGGGACTGATTTAGTGGAACATACCTCTCTCCTGCATCGCGTTTGGTTGTCCGGTAGTTTCAGCGCCTTCTCCGGGAACATGTACACAGAAAAAATTCTCCATCTGCTCTTTGGCGTGAAGCGGTGTCGAGGTTGGTTCCGGGATGGACACAGGGACGGCACACATGTGGCACAACAATGTCGCGTGGTCCCCCACCCTATTACCTCCCTCTCCCCCTCCTCCCTGTCCAACCCCGGTTCCCATCGCCGATGCGGAGGCGGCAGGCGCAGTCGTCGCCGTCGTCGTCGGGGTGAGAGCTGCCACCAGGCTGCTGCATATGACCTCGTTCAAGTCCGTGTGGGAAGGACGCTCCAGTCGGAGGAGCTTCCGGCACACAGCTGTCGCCGCATCGTTTTCAACCACCTTTGAATGCCAAGCCAACGGAGGGGAGGAACAGCTGGAGTGTTCGTTGTATTGTATGCAAAAAAACAATTGAGGCGTTATTCCCGATCGGGGCACGGCTCTGCTTTCTCTTGCTTTGCTTCTGCTCGTACTTTCGTCTTTAGTTTATGCCTCGGGAGAGAATCATGCTGAATGGAAGTCAGGCAAGGCGCGCAAGAACGGATTCGGGACGGGGGGGGAGCTTAGCGGTATTGCGGTCGTCTTGAGCCCATTGATGGAGAGTGTGCTGGAGTCAAGACCTGCACCAGACAACCCCCGATTCCCATGGGAGACTCAACAATTGTTCGAAGCATATTTGATACACCCAGGGGTGTGTACATAAGCCATGCACCCACACGTGGTAGTCCCGCCTTTATAGACCTGCACGAGCACCGTTTACCACCCAAGAGCGACCTAAGTCCAAGCACCACCAACCTAGCACCTAGAAATTATCCCATCAACACCAACCTAGCGCCAATGCCGGCACATCAACCTAGAACTTAAGCTACCCAGCGCCAACCTACCACCTATCGTTTGGGGTTGGTGTTAGGGCTAGGGGTAGCTGTCGGGTGTCTAGCTGGTTTCATGCGCCTCCCAAAGCAGAAAATCTGTTGTTCAAGAGTGTACCAGAATTGCTCAAAATGTTAATCACCTGGTTGCCGGTTAGAGGAACTGCTGTGGCCCGTTGTACAGCATAGCATTCATTAGTTCGAGGCTGGGTGTGTTTCACCATTTTTTTTCCAGCATGGGGGGTTTTCGGCCTGTCAAGGGTGTGGGTGCGCGACTTACGTACACATCCCGGGTTTCATTCCATTTTTCGGGTGATTTTCACGGAATATGAGCACGCAGCGATTGGCAAACGAAAGTCAACGGGTGCTTCCCCGCACCGTAAGATGTTACTTTCTTGTCTGATCACTGATGTACTACTACTGTGAAAGGGGACAAGATCACTGGTGTACTATAGTCATGGGACCAAGAATGTACCAGAACGCCGTCCGAGCACTTGGCAAGCTTGCTCAGAGTAAACAGAGTGTTGTAGTTTTGAAGGATGACCTCGCCCGAGCTGTGGGCGCCCACCACGGTGTTGAGCAAGAAGGCTGACGGTAATTCATCCCGCAGCGCCTGTGGGCAGGGGGCGGGGGGGGGGGGGCGTGATGGGCAGCGCGACGGGCATTCACGACAATATGAAACTGGGGACGTGCTGGATGTTTTCTAAGGTGCCGTGGGTCGGTGTTGGCCCCTTAGCGCGACTGCACAGAATCGAAGACGAACACGGATCCACCAACTACACCCCCCCCGCGCAAACCGACACAACCGGTCCATCCCAACCACGTTCCGTTCGTTCAAGCAGCGCACAGACCCGCCGACATTCAGGCAGTAGGAAGCCGTCCCAAATATGTTGCTAGACAGCAGTACCAACAGACCTCCCCCCAACGGCCACGCAAGTAAATCGAACCTGCCATAACCGCAACTAATTGAACTCAACCGATCGAGTCGCTCATCCTACACCGCCGATTGACGCAAACTAGCCCCTCCGTCGAACAACGTACCCTGCAACCACCACTAGGACTGCCTAACCAAGCCAAGCAATCCTTGTGCCCACGTTAACAGAAGCAACCAACGTCCGGGACATCCAGACCATTTCTTGTCCTGTACCTCTGTGAGACATGTGCCCAAGCCGGATCCCGTCCCGCCCGCCAGGCTGTGGAGGATGCAGAGCCCCGTCAAGCGGTCGCACCTGTAGGAGTCGTTGCAGGCATGATGGCATATGGAGCAGATTGTTTCAAATCGTCTCCAACTGCTGCACCTTCATATGTACACCGCGCGAATAACTGCTGCGCATCCCATATTGGCGAAATCGATTGACGTGTGGGGGTGCAGGTGGCGTGCCTCGCACAGGCGATTCTTGTACAGTAGAGGTCCCTGTTTAAGGCCGCCATGCTCCAAGGGAAACACCGGCCTCATACTGGGCACCCGGCACTGTTCAGAGTATGAGACAACTTGAATATTCCATCTGTGCCAACCGATTCACCGGCCTTAAACAGCGCAACCGACCTTAAATATGCTCCCCTAAACATGGACTTCTACTGTATCGGATTTATATGCCATTTCTCGCCAACCACATCTGACGAGAGAAGCGCCGGCCCGGAGTAAAACTGTAGCGATCAGGAATCGAATCTCAACCAAACTCCCTCCCACACACTGTCTCCCCCGCCCCCCTGCCTTTTCTCGTGCGTTTCCACACCTTTCCGTCTCTCTCCGAACGCCCTCAAGACATGCCTCACTAAAGGTGGCGCCGTGTGCATGATAGCCGTAGGCCCAGTTGTTCGCCGCTCCGCCCTGCGCGTGGCAGCACACCTGCGTCCCGCTGTCGTACCTCCATCCCCCCCCCCTACTTCCACCTCCAACCGTGCTGTGATTTCTGTCACCAGTGGTGTTGGTACGTCTTTGGGCCGTTTTTCCATAGGCGCTCTCCCTTCCTCCTGCAGCTCTCCTGGCTCCTGCTCCTGTGCTTTCTTCTGCTCTTCCGCGCGTGGCAACGATGCGTTGGATGACCTTGGGTTCGGTGTCGATGATGACAGCTCTCGCTACGCCGCCGTCGCGGAAGAAGCTTTGACGGCAAGCGGATCTCGCTCGCTCCGATTCCGTACCTGGTGTCGTCGTTGTTGTTGCGGTTGGTGGTGGTGTTACAAGTAGGTGTTGTTGCCGACGTTGTCGACGCCAACATACACGTTGCTAGCTGGTGCTAGTCCGCTACCGCTGTCGTTACCGCAGCTGGTGTAGCGCGCAGTACGCAACGCAACCGACGACCGTGCATGAAACCTTGGAAGGCGGCTCATAGAAAGAGCTGTGCGGGGCACCTAAAACTTGGGGATACGGAGGAGTATTGCTGTGGGGACGACTCTCTCCCCCGCCCCGACTGCGATTCAACCAGTATTTCGCGAGTACGACCATGAACAGTCGTGTGAACACGACTTGTGGGGTGGATTCTCGAGCTGGGTTGTGCCGATACCAAACGATACCAAAACGTCATTCGAAAGCTCTCGACAGCAGTGACGTTCCTCTTGTAAGCCCTACTTGTAGTGGGGAGATATCGAGCATGGAACTCACTCACACGGTGTCTGTGATGTACACCGTAACCTGCAACAATCGTTTCTACCTGAAGTGTGGCCGTGGTGAGCGGGTGGCTGACTAGCGTGGTCGTGAAGAGCCTGGAAAAGGCTTGCCCCCAGTTGGTTGCCGCATTGTCCAACTTGAACGGTAACCACGGACATTGCTCCTTCACATGGGTAAAGAAAAGAACGTCATACTCATACCAAGGGAAACAAACAAGCCGAACGAGAGAGCCGATCTTCACCCGGAAACGGCCGGTTGGTGCAGATAAGCGTCAGAGGTCCATTGGTTCATTGCCACCGCATGATGTGTACATGGACACATGCGGTGGATATGTCCCAAGGCATGACGGAAGTCTGGACGTCGAGGGCTACTCTACTGTATCCGGATTCCAAATTTTGAAAACGTAATACAGCAGTAGTGCATTCTTGGCGATGCCTTTGACCTCTTCTTGCCTGAATAGACATGCAGACGGATGGTGAACAAGTAGACACACGCAGTGCTGTACAGCAGTGTACTGGACTGACGTACTACTACAGTACTGCTGAAGACGCTCTCGGGGAGGCCAGCTCACACTCACAACGAGTGTCTCTTGACAATATAAGCACCAACGGAAGAGAGAACGCGGTAGGAGCACAACGACTGCTCTCAAGACACACCACATACTCACCCCGTGAGTGCTGAGCCCGATCCCAGGGACGGACAGCAGCGAGGAGAGACAGCGAGAGAGAATGAGACGTGTTGGAACTTGGAGCCAAAACACATGGTGCCATATGCCATACAGCAGTATGTGCCATAACTATGATCTCCGGAGAAGGGGGAGAGTCAGCACGTCCGCCCTACCCCACGATACTATCGTACATACGCGAAGCCCCCGACTCTTGGTTGCCTCGTTGTGTCTGCCCTGCCTACCACAGCACAACCAAACTCTTCACTCGTGCTCTTTCAACCCCAGCACATAGCAGCAGTTCAATGTTTAAGAGGTGAGCCTCGGGATTTATCGAATACTTGTCGTCACGTTTTGCCTGCGGTCGATTGGATGGCGGGACTGTCAAATGTCTCGCTTTTAGACTAGTTTGATTCCGCAACCCATCCAAGGATTGCCAGAGTGCCATAGCAGCGTAGCAGTAGTGCCTGGCCGACCTGTTTCGTGCCTACATGTCACGATGATGGTGCCCAACTCAATCCACCATGCACCAAGTTTGCATGCACACAAGAAAATAGTCCAAAACTCGCGAGACGCTTATCGATTGGGTGCTGTGTGTGCGCTTCAGCACCCAGCACTCTCGCCGAAGATGTGTAAGTACAATTTCTGGATTTTGTACGTGGTGGCATCTTTCTCGCATTCCCGATGTGTTTGCCCTTATCACCAAGCCCACCAGCAAGCTTCCACAAGCCGCGCAACCGTCGTTTGTGTATCCCACCCTCCACCGTTTGTGCCATGACAAGAACGTGCATGTTCACCGATTTGGGGGTCACTTCACGGCAGTGATCGGTATGGGGCGGTCATGTATTCACCCTTCCATCGAGTCCCCCCAAAACCACATGAACAATGTGTGCAGGGCTGCAATACCGGCCGGAACCAGCATACGCAAAGTTTGACGTTTCCTCTTTCCTCCGCTGAACCGGTGTTTCTCGTTTGCAAGATTTTCCAAGGATGACGTGTCCTCGTCTAGCCAGGTGAAGTCCTCGGTGCAGCGAGGGTTCCGCGCCAAGCTTTTGGAGCAGTTCCCCAACTCTGAGGTGAGAAGGGATCCTGGACAGGTCCTTGTCCATGTGACACACACAGCAGCAGCTGTGGTAAACGGTGATGTTGTACCTGCCTTGTGTCGAACTTTTGCGAGTGCCGCTCCACTGCTGTCTTACCGACCGCGGCACTTCATGTGGAGCTCTGTTGTGTCCACCTTGTGCGTACGTCGGGTTACTTCACAGTAATCATGTGCCAAACTACTTGCCGTGCAGCAGGTTGCGTGCGGAACCAGTATCCCGCGTGCAGAAGTGACCGTCATGGAATAGCCCATTGTAGAAAGGCCAGATTACAGTCAGTATTGTAGAGAAGGGTCCACCACTGATGTGGTGTATAGAAGCCGAAATCAACCCATTAGACATTAGAGAGCGTGTGACTTTGACACATGTGACGTAACGCCGTGGGTCCGGATCATGCCTCGGCCTGTTTTTTTTCTCAAGTTGGCGGGCCGCTTTTAAACATGACCACCTGACCGACCGAAGCTAATTACAGTTGGAAGTCGTTTTTGTCCGCAAGGTATTCCGAAAAAATTCGATCGAGAATTGAGGGGGACTCACCTAGATTTACTTAAAGGCAGGAAACCTACTCCCAGGCAAAACGGTACTCCAACCCCCCGGAGGACGAGAAGGAGGGCATGCTAGACGTTCCAGTCGTGCGCGAACCCGCACGACGAGTCCAAGAGATTCATTACCACACACAGCACCCACCAAGTCTCGACTAGGGATCCCCGTGACCACCCTCCCCCCCCCACCATCACAGCCGTACCTGGAGGACATCCTGCCTAAGAAGGGCAACGTGACGATCGCCAAGTGCAAGGACCGGGTGTCTCTGATCTGCTGCGACGGCGTGCCACTGTTCTTCCAACAGCGAGATGGCCACATCTTTCCCACGCTCAGGATATTGCACAAGTGTGAGTGTTCTTTTCTTTTTGCGTTTTTCGATTCATGTGCCGTTCCACACTTGGGTGGAAGGGAGTGTATTAATGGCCTCCAAGCATTCCGCATGACGTCATAGAGTTGACCGTCGTCTCTCTTTTTGGCGATGCGTTGAAAATCGTCGTTGATGCTGGTGAATCGGAATATCTTCTTGTGTTGGGGAACCAGGCTTTACGAAGAAAAAGAGTGGAAGGAAAACCTGACTGCTGTGTGTGTCGTCCTATTTATTCCGAACGTCACTCTTTACACCGTTCAATATCTTCTATGGACATCCACGCAAGTTTTTGTTTTTGCCTTGGTTTTTATCGCGAAGGATTCAGTCGTTCCGTTTCCTCATCGACCGTCAAGATGAAATTATTGTGTACACGCGAATTCGTAATTTTTTCACATTTGTTTGAGATTAGTCCGGCGTTGGAACATCCCACAACCCTCATTTATAAAACTAATTGTCAAACGTAGATCCTAACATGATGCCGACGATGAGAGTGGACAAGGGGGCCATCAGCTTTGTCATGAACGGAGCCAACATCATGTGCCAGGGCTTCACTTCGAAGGGGGGGAGAATAGACACACCGTTAGAGGCGGGAGCAGCCGTGGTGAGTGTATTTTCCATGTTAGTGCATACCACATACCACCAGCTGCGTTATTGTTTTGGGGTGTTTTTTTCCACTCTGCTTGCTAGAGCCAACGTCGGATCATATGGGTATACCGTAAGGTTGCGAGTCAGCGCACAGGGGTGCGATCGATTTTCAAAGCGTAATTTCTCCACAACCAGGAGGGTGCGAGCGCCAACTGATACTTCTCAGGAAAGTTCTGGATGAGATATTTCCAAAATTGCCCTTTTCGACAGTGGTAACCTCCTGGTTGTGGACAAATTACGCCTTGAAAATCGATCGCACCCCTGTGCGCTGACTCGCAACCTTACGGTACGCGAAGAGGGGCTGATGAGCACGTTGCAGAAGAAGTGGCTGCTAGTGGCTCGAACATACTCTCCGTGTTGGTGAACAATTTATGTAGAGCACAAAGTTATTTTGCAAGAACTCCCTTCACAGTCTGTCGTCGTTTCTTCAGAGTTATCGTGACACCCATATTCAAAAGCAAAAAAAGTTGTGGACACTCGTTTTGGTCTTCTACCCGAGAGTATTGGGGGCAATTTCGTTCTCTCGAGTTCCTCGTTTTCGCCAGGGACATGAGTCCGCTCTGGAACATGTTTTGAATGCCTCCTGCACCCCGCCACGTGTGCCCCCTTGTATCCTTCTGCCGCGATAGTGTATCCTGGCGGAGGGCAAGAAGGTAGCTCTGGCGGTGGGGCAGACCACAATGTCAACAGCAGATATGTGAGTTTGTTAGAATCGGGATCCCATGCATTGCTTCAGCTTCCTACTGCAGATGGCTTCGCCCTTACAATCCGGAGCCAAGCTATTCAACAAGACGGGGCGAAATTGTTTTCCTGTCAGTGACAGATGTTAAGAGAGCAAGGTTCGACTCGCAGCTGCACATCTGAGGACGACGGTTTCGATGAAGACTTGATGCTCGACCTCTAGAGGGTCGGATCATGATTTGGACGAGTATTCAGCTCTGTATGTGTGGTCAAGTTGTCTTCGATTGTGCTGCAAATACCATTAAGAAAGAGGCACGGAGTGCCCAGGGCGGTGTGGCCATCATCGTGCTCATCGTGCGTGTGAAATTAATCTGTTCGAGCCAAAGAGGAGGAGTCCAAACATCCCCAAGAAAAAGCTCTTCGCCTACCCTCGCGCCCAACGTAACTCACCATCCTGGGCAACATCTGAGTGCGTGTTGGCGTTTTTTCCCATCTGCTTTGCTCGCGGTGCGTTGTTGAATCAGCCAATCGGTGAACAAGGGCATCGGTGTGGACAACTTGCACTACCTGGGGGACGGGTTGTTTGGTACCAAGGAGTTGGATTGACTCCAGTGCCTTCTTGTTTGCTTCTTTAGGTTTGTTGGAGCCTGGCACTCCCGTGTAGAAAAGGTCCCTCTCGACAACTGTAGCATGCGATGTCTTCGCCATCAGTTCGGCGCCCCGAGAAGTCGTGACGTTCTGCTACCTTCGTCATCGAATCGTTGGGTGTTGGTGTTGCGAGCATGGTCTGGTCCGCTGCGGAAGGGGGAGTGATAGGTGGGCGGTGCGGTAGGCTCGGAATCCGGTTTTGAAGCGCCCTCCACACGATCAGCTGGGGGCAGGTTACACGCAGCCCTGCCACGAGTTTTTGGCAGAGCCATGCCTCCCGCATATGGCGACTGCCTACTTTGCAAGTCGTGACACGCGCTCTTTTGTGCCAGGTAGCAACCTACGTTTGGCTTAGGTTACGGTCAGGACGGAGACACGTTCTTCGTTTGCCACAGACCGCTGGAGTTCCTCTGAGGGCGTTGGACATCCAGCTATGAAAGGAACAGCCGCACGTGTTGCTCGCTGTCTAGCAACAGTGTCACCAACCAACGGCTGTTTCCTTCCACAGGCGGATACACACGGACACGTAATATTGTCTGGCTCGACACGCGAACATTTTTCTTGGTGCGGCGCTCCACCGAAAGTTTCCCCGCCGATTTCTGTTGTCGATTGTCACGAAGCACGGTTGGGTGTCCTGTGAATGAATGTAGATTTTTACAACCAAGTAAGGCAGCTACAGTGTATCGAAGTGGGAGATGCGTGCTCGATGATGGGCTGTGGCCGGCATTTCAGAATGTGGTGCCTCTATCGGAAGTCAAAGTTGTTGGTATCTGTTGTGCGGAGGAACACATGATTTCACGCTCTGTGTGCGTGGAATATGAAGAAGAAAATGATATTGATGCGTTTGCACGCATGAAAGTTAACGTGTTCTTCGTTAGAGTAGGAGCGCAGAACACAACGAGTAGATGATTAGGGATTTGAACCACACGTATTTCGTACGACAAACGAAACCTACCAACGTGTGTTTCCTTCCGCTAGCTCGACACGAAGGCGTAGTCTCGCTCGACACGCGAAGATTTTACTTGGTGTGGCGCCTCCGATCCAAGTTTCTCGTCCAGTTCTATTCCACTCGCTATGTAAAGGGATTTGAGTTCGTTGTACACGGATCTGGATCGTACAGCTTTTAGGGAAATATCATCGTATGACTATACCCACGGCGCGCAGGTCGTATAGCCCCCCCCCCCCCCCCCCCGGGTTTGGGTGGAACTGGGCCCCGAATAACGTTTCCACGGGGAAGTTTTTTGGGGGGGGTGGGTCCCT